TCTCATAACAAAGGCATTTCCTATACTATGCATTGTGTTATGGAAAATCTACAGAATAAAAAAGGGAAATTTAAAATATACCCCCTCCGGAACAGAAAAATTAAGTCCAAAGTTGCTCACATATAAGTGAAATCAATTTTAAAGAATCGCATTTATTTCCGAAAAAAAGCATAAATTCAGTTTAATGGAATTATATTTTTTTTCAAACTGTGAAGTTGTTTGGCAGAAAATCCATTAAAAAGGTTCTGAGCGCATTTTTTACCGTGGCAAGTTTAAAAAGGTCGTAAGCAAATCCAGCCGCATATTGTCGCGAACACTTATGTAAAACCCAATCTTATTAAATCTACCTCTTGGGGAAATACACGTTTATGCTGTAAAAAAGTAAGAGCTTACATAGCATGCGTTTAAATCACTGATTGTGGCTGCCTTTATAAATTTAAATATATTTTATGGAGAACGTATAGGAAAAAATATTTCCTGTACTCCTTTGGTAGAAAATTACGCCTCCTTTAAATTTTATACATCAAGAAAGGTGATCTTTTCGTTTTAAAAATATTTTAATTATCAGCTTTTTTACGACTATGAGGAGTTAGTTCATAATGCATCTTATCCGTCGATGTCTTAATGCTGCCTATACTGTATAAAGCATGTTCCACACCTTTTGCAACATTTTTATGAGTACTGTTTGTTTTCTTCATCAAACCGTTGGCGAAAACGTACTTTTCCTTATACGGGATTTATACAGTGCGCAGTTTGCAAACCTTGAATTCGAATTTAGCAGTCAGTAGGTTTAGAATTATTCGGCAATTTAAAAACTTTTTAAAGCCGAAAGATACGACTTTTTGAGCGTAAACTTTAAGTAAGGCCTAAGTTACTACCAAGCAAATACAACAAATATATTTTTGTCGTTAGTGGTCAGAACAAAGCTCGTTGAAAAGCCCACATCGTATCATGACTGAATTAACTTCAGAATAGACTACACGATATTCAGTATCAAAACCTGAGCTAGTGCCGATAGGCGAAAGAATATCAATCTTTCGCATATGTCCATATGTTGCACGAATTCTGGCGCGTACTTTAGATGACTACTCGTATTTTTGCTTTCGCAAGCATATAGCAGAGCTTCGAAGCAATCAACTATGGCAGAAAACAATCCAATTAAAAGCGAAAAGTAAGTTCTTTCATTTCTAGACAACTTTCATAATTTATCTTCAGCGTACTTAAAATAATTCTCAAAAAGCTCAATTTTTGTTGTGACATTACCTTACAAAACGGTTATATGCATGGAATTCCGTCAGCTGAATATCTAGGTAAAGTACTTTTTAAAGAGTGAATGTATTAAAGAAAGTTTTTTTATCCTAGGAATAATAACATCAGACATTTTTTGCAGACGTTATCTTTTCTCGACAGTGTGTTTTGCTGTGTGGTAGAATTTTTAAATATGACCCACATGGCCATCTTCGTGCGAAATAAAATCAAAAATCTCATTTTTTCGGTAAATAAACTTGATTTAGACCCTATTTTAAAGCTTTTGATATAAGCGTCTAACGAAATCTCGATTTATCCCCTTAAGCTTGAGGACACTGAAAACGCTGGAAAACGCTTTGGTGCATTTGTAAATACTTCTAATTTGGGAGCAACAATATTTCTAAAGATTTCATATTTCAGCTAAGTTTTTCTGATATAAAGAAAGTTAACCTTTAACCTTTAAAAAAGCAACAAAATGTTAATGCAGTTTTGTAGTTCACGGAAATTTTTTACGTCTAGAGGACTAAGCGATTAGCCAGAAAATTTCGATCGTTTAACAAACCATTAGTACTTCTTATATTTTTAAGTAAAAAATTTGCTTAAGGTTTCTTATAATAACTTCTAAGCCTTCGTACATGCGGTTATGCGGGTTTGCGGCATGTTTTACGAATTCTGAGCCTTACTGGTAATTTGCCAACTGATTTACACGTCGTTCCAATAGGCAGGATGCGTTGCATTAGTAATGAAATAGAAGTATCAAAAACGGTGCGGCATATACGAAAAAACAGGCTTCAAGATTTTAACTGCATTTGCACTATGAACTTTTTACGCAAGGGAAACCAAGTGTAAAAAACGAGCGTTTTCGCTTAATTTCTCATCGGGCAAACACAGTATTATAAAGGGAGGGTAGAGTTAGCAAAAGTTTAAGCAACCAATCAGCGGGCATTAAGGGGGAGCTGTGGAAAATGTCTTGAGACTAAGGATAGACTCCCGTTCCAGACCCCTTCAATGTGCATCTACACCTTTTAAATGCTCCTGTGGGGCAGGTTACTTTGGTCAAACAACTAGGCGGCTTTCCAAGCGCATGCGAGAAGACCATCCTGACTGGCTAAAAAGAAGCGTGGTTTAGTCAATATCTAGTGCAATTTTGGCTCACTTGGTTGACAGTGGTCATCGGGTAGACCATTTTTGAGTCTTACATAAAGTGCCGGCGAAACATTCAAAGTTCCTGCGTCAGCAGATACTTGCGACGGCAGAGGCAGTCGCCATACGCTTCATTAACCCGATCTTATGTGTGTAGAAGACGTTTATAGTGGCCATAAGGTCCCTGTGGCCACAGGCCAGTTAAACATTCGTCCACAAATCTTCTATCATGTAGCAAGATGGTGATAAGACAGTGACAACTGGTGTCCAGACAACATGAAGCAGCAACGAGACGACCGGGTGAGATGAACTAATTGTAGGACAGGTCCCCTCACCTCCTGCCTTTTGATCGCTTAATATGTTTCCCCCTCTCTTCCATAATTACCGTTGATTGGTTGCCTAAAAGTTCGCTTACCCTTACCTCCCTTTAT